TTTAGTACAGACGAGGTTTCACCATGTTGGCCAGGCTGGTGTCGAACTTCTGAACTCAGGTGATCCACCTGCCTCAGCCTCCCAAAGTGCTGGGATTACAGGCGTGAGCCACCACGCCTGGCCTGGAATACTGCTATTGCAGGACAAATAAAAGAAAGGTGATGTGTCCACTCAAGAACCATTAACTTTTTAGTCAGCTATGTTACAAGCTCTAATGTATTCTGCTATATAAACAGAGTCAGATTTCAATTATTCATCAAGAAGCGCTGGTGGAAGTGCATGTATTGAAAAGAATTAAGTAATGTAAAAGGTTGCCCACTTCTTGTTTTAATCTACTGACAAGTTGCTCTAGTAACCCAAAGATGTGAAGGAGAAAGCAGCTGCCTCACCACTCAGACACTGATTTGTTCAGATGTTTCAGTGCCTCATGATACAATAAAATCACAAAAATTTTCTTCACAAACAAAAGGTGCTGGTGGAAACTGTGAGATACATTTCAATACAGATCCCCAATTCAATGGCTAGGAGACGAGAGAGCGGCAGACATGGAGGAGAAACCTTATGAAATTCTTCTGAGAATATGTCCCCTTTCTTCATAATGTTCATGTTTTTTGTTTTTTGAGACAGGTCTTGCTCTGTCACCTAGGCTGGAGTGTAGGCTGGAGAATCACTTGAACCTGAAAAGCAGAGGTTGCAGTAAGCACAGATCTCTCCATTGCACCCAGCCTGGGTAATAGAGCGAGACTGTCTAAATAATAAATAAATAAATGCAGACTTAGTTACTGTTGCTTTCTGTTTTCTCTGTAAACTTTAAAAAGCCAGCAAAGATTATGATACTTTAAGATGGAGATTCGTTGTCTTCATTTGTGCCAGAAGTATTTGTGTTGTCACAAGAGTGCCAAGTGTGAGAGACTCTGTGCTGTGCCTGCTTTCTCTAACTAATGCTCATAATGAGCCCAGGGGGAGCAACATGAGCATTGACAGGGAACTATTTCAACACCCATTCATGGACCCTCTCCAGACCTGTAGAATCACACCACATAGAGTGGGACCAACATTACCGAGTCATTTATAAGCTCATTAAAGCTTGAGAGGCAACGTTTAGTTAAGTGGTTATAAGCCCAGGCTGCTATTTAGAATCACGTGGCTAGTTTGCAGAAATCTCTTTCCTGGTGCTCTTCCTGTCACAGGTTCTGATTAATGTTCTGGGTGGAAGCATTCATGCTGTTTTAATTAACTGTCTCATGTGACTCTAAGTTGTGGCCAGAATCAAGATGCATTTGTGAGAGTTAAGTTTCACCTGTGCACTAGAGGGTGGTCCTAGAGCTTCTTTTGAGTTTCATAGGGACAGGGCGGTCTGGCTCATATTTTCATTATTGTAGCAGAAATTGCTGGCAGGGGAGGGCACCTGAGGACAGGAAAAAATAAACGTATAGTTTGTTATCTGTGGAGCAGCTTATTTTTCCTGAATCTCTTCTGTTGCGGGTATAGAAATGGGTGGAGTTTTTCTGTTTTGCTTGTTCTGCCTGTGGATGTGGTGTCAGCAGGTAAACATGTGGTACCGACACCTTTCAAGGCATATTCTCAAGATGCAGTTGTGATTTGTCTGGATAATCTTATCTGAGAAGAAATCCTAGAGAAGGACAAAGAGAAAAAAAATGGCTTTCTTAATAATGAGCTTTGTTTTTTAGACGGAGTGTTGCTCTTGTTGCTCAGGCCGGAGTGCAATGGTACCATCTCAGCTCACTGCAACCTTCAACTCTGGGATTCAAGCGATTCTGCTGCCTCAGCCTCCCACGTAGCTGGGATTGCAGGCTACCACACTCGGCTAGTTTTTTGTAGTTTTACTAGAGACCATGTTGGTCAGGCTGATCTCGAACTTTTGACTGCCTCAGTCTCCCAAAGTCCTGGCATGACAGGTGTGAGCCACCCTGCCCGGCAATGATGAAACATCGAATACTTATTTTATTTTTATTTTAAGTTCTAGGATACATGTGCAGCATGTGCAGGTTTATTACATATATGTGTGTGTGCCATAGTGGTTTGCTGTACATATTGACTCATCCTCCAGGTGCCTTCCTTTTTCTCCTCACTTCAAAACAGGCCCTGGTGTGTGGTGTTTCCCTCCCTGTGTCCATGTGTTTTCATTGTTCAACTCCCACTTACTAGTGAGAACATGTGGTTTTTGGTTTTCTCTCACTGTTAATTTGCTGAGGATGATGACTTCCAGCTTAATCCATGTTCCTGCAAAGGACATGATCTTATTTCTTTTTATGGCTGCATGGTATGCCATGGTGTATATGTACCACAATCTATGTATTTAGTCTGTCATTGATAGGCATTTGGGTTGGTTTCATTTATTTGCTATTATAAATGGTGCTGCAATAAACTATTATGTAAGTGTGCATGTGTCTTTATTTATATAAGACATGTAGAATTATTTATATGGCTTTGAGTAGATTCCCAGTAATGGGATTGCTGGGTGAATATTTCTAGTTCTAGATTCTTGAGGAGTCACCACACTGTCCTCCGTGATGATTGAACTAATAGACATTTTCACCAACAGTGTAAAAGCATTCCTATTTCTCCACAGCCTCACCAGCATCTATTGTTTCTGACTTTTTAATAATCACCATTCTGAGTGGCGTGTGTGTTGGCTGCATAAATGTCTTCTGGGAAGTGTATGTTCATCTTTTGCCTACTTTTTGATGAGATTGTTTGTCTTTTTCTTGTAATTTTTTTTATATTTCTTGTAAATTCTGAATATTAGAGCTTTGTCAGTTGGATATATTGCAAACATTTTCTCCCATTGTGTAGGTTGCCTGTTCACTCTGATGATAGTTTCCTTTTCTGTGCAGAAGCTCTTTAGTTTAACTAGATCCTGTTTGTCAATTTTGGCTTTGGTTGCAATTGCTTTTGGTGTTTTTGTCATAGTCTTTGCACATGCCTATGTCCTAAATAGTATTTCCTAGGTTTTCTTTTTCTTTTTTCTTTCTTATTTTTGAGATGGAGTTTCGCTCTCGTTGCCCAGATTGGAGTGCAATGATGTGATCTTGGCTCACTGCAACTTCAGCCTTTTGGGTTCAAACAATTCTCCTGCCTCAGCATCCCACGTAGTTGGGATTACAGGTGTATGCCACCATGCCCGGCTAATTTTTTGTATTTTTAGTAGGGACAGGATTTCTCCATGTTGGTAAGGCTGGCCACAAATTCCCGACCTCAGGTGATTTGCCCACCTCAGCCTCTTAAAGTGCTGGGATTACAGGTGTTAGCCACCGCGCCAGGCCTACTAGGTTTTCTTTTAGGGTTTTTATGGTTTTGGGTTTCACATTTAAGACTTTAATTCATCTTGAGTACATTTTTGTGGAAGATGTAAGGAAGAGGTCCAGTTTTACTGCATATGGCTAGTCAGTTTCCTCAGCACTATTTATTGAATGGAAAATCCTTTCTCCATTGCTTCTTTTTGTCCAGTTTGTTGAATATCAGTTGGTTATAGATGTGTGGTGTTATTTCTGAGGTCTCTTTTCTGTTGTATTTGTCTGTATGTTAGTTTGTTTTTGTTTGTTTTTTACTTTTTTCAATTTTATTATGGAAAATTTCAAACATATACAAAAGTATAGAGAATAGTATAATGAACTCTCAAACATCCATCACACAGCTTCGGCAATTACCAGTTCACGGCCAATCTTGTTTCATCTATGCACTCAATTACCCCACTCTCAGATTATTTTGAAGCAAATACCAGTAGCGTATCATTTTACCTGTACATTTTTCAGTACACTTTTTTAAAAGATAAGAACATCTTTTTAAAGAAGTACCATATCACGATTTAAAAAACAAAAAAATCAAGAAGTTACATTTTTATTTCAAATTAGATAACGATTGGGAACTCAATACATTTCACTGGTATCATGAGGAAGATTGTAACACTAAAATGGAGTCCACGCTTTTATTGATGTAATAGCTTTATCATGTGAAGGAAAAATCATCAAGCATACTACCATATTAGAGCCATTTGGGGTCATTTGTAAGGAGCTAGAAGTCATTTGTAACTGCTGATATCACATATCTCATGGCAAAACTCTGCAAGATTTCCTCTACACATCTTTGTTATTTTCTTAAAGTTGTTCTCCTGGAAGCAGCCGATCCAAGTCCTCTTTTTTAAAAAATCCTTCATTTTGTGTTCCCCTCTTACCCTCTTTTCTAAATGCCTTTTCCAAGTGACAACAATTTTGCCCTCTCTCAGCCCTCTGCATTCTCATATGCAGGAACTAGGTAGGATGAGGAGCTAGCCGCGTGAACTGGAAAAGGTATGAAAACTACAGCCAAATGGATCAGTGAGAGAGGCAAAAGAAACCTAGACAACTAAATGGCATAATTAACTTTGGAAACTTCCTATGATATAGCCTGTTAGCTCTGGCATCAAATAATACAGCATGTTAAATCTGTAAAATGAGGATGTTTTTCTCAAAGAGATGTTAAGATGACATGTAAGAAGTGGTTAGGGCAGGTGTTTCAAAAAAAATGTTTTATATATCATTTTTAAATTTACTTTTATAAAAACTCACAACATTATCTTGCATCCACTGTATTTATTTTTACAATTACCATTATCGCAAGTGATAGTTTTTGAATAAAATTTTAAGCAAATCATCACAGTACAAAAACACTAGAGCTGTTAACACGAAGGACTGATTCTACAAAATGTTACCCTAAGGTGATGGCATCATCTTTAAACTGTGCAGCTACTGTGCGGTATGACATAGAAATAGGAATAATAATTCCTGTCCTCAAACATCTTACAACTGCTTTGAAATATTTCTGAGACACCTGATACACAAAAGCCACACACGTGGTGCCTAGATAGCATATACTCCATTGGCACCAGATTGGAAGGGGAATGTTTTGCCACACCGTGATTACAAAGTATTAACTGAATCAAAGAACCTTCAGTGATGCCAACCGTATTTCAAATAGTGTCTCAGATGCAGTACTTGCAAAGAGTAAGGAAAAACAGTCTTCGCTCTCAAAGACGTCATAGTCTAATGAAGAAGGCAGACACATCAAAAAAGCACAACAAAAGGCTATAGGTGCTGAATTAAGCGTCTGTTCACATATAAAGTACAACAACCAGAGCAAGAGTCAGTGGTATAGACAGGGAAGGAGTGTCCCAAGATGCAGGAAGAAACCAGATGAGCTGTCTTCTTCAGAACACAGAAGTGCTCACCTGAACTTGACAATTCCATTCATCACTGGGTTCACATCAGTATTAGTTTCAGCACAATTCTGAACATCTTTGCTGTTCATTAGGGATCGCTGTCTGGCGAGGACGGGGCCATGGAGTTTGCATTGGTTGGGGAGCCGCCCAGCTTCAGTTTCTCCAGATACTCGGCGTGCACGCGCCCGTGGCCCTGGAGAACCTTGATGGCATCTTCGACTTTGAACCACTCTCGCTCCCTGCCAATGTTAACCGAATCTTCCCAATCCTCCCGCAGCTCCGTGACAGTCAGAACACACACGTACGTTCTGTGCTTGCGATCCTGGTTCTGTTCGAAGACGCCCAGGAGCCGGCCTAACTTCCCCTTGACTCCCGCCCCTTCGTACACCTCTCGGACCGCCGCACCGCCCGGCTCCTCCTCGGGCTCCACGCCCCCGCCCGGCACGATCCAGCGGTCCGGGTACCGACTGCGACTCACTAACAGCACCTCGTCCTCGCGTTCGCTCCGGAAGCACAGGCACGCCGCCCGCTTCTTGAACCCGTCCGGGTCGCAGGTCCGCGTGTGGTTGGGCTTGCACTTCATCCTCGAGGCTGCCTCTTCCAGCCGCTCGCTGCTGTGAGCTGCAGCCTGCGCCGCCCGGGGAGCCGCCGAGGTGCTGGGAAGAGAAAGGACCCAGGCGAGGGGCAGGGAGTGAGAGGCGCCTCAGTCTCTGATTGTTTTTGTACCAGTAACGTACTGTTTTGGTTACTGTAGCCTTGTAGTATAGCTTGAAGCCAGGTAGAGTGATGCTTTCATCTTTGTTCTTTTTGCTTAGGATTGTCTTGGCTATACGGGCTCTTTTTTGGTTACATATAAAATTTAAAGTGGTTTCTTTTTTTTAATTCTGTGAAGAATTTGTCAATAGTAATTTTATGAAAATAGCATTGAATCCATAAATTACTTTGTGCAGTATGGCCGCTTTTATTATGTTGATTCTTTCCTCCTCTTCTTCTTCTTCTTCTTCTTCTTCTTCTTCTTCTTCTTCTTCTTCTTCTTTTTTCTTTTTTTGAGACAGTGTTTTCTCTTGTTGCTCAGGCTGGAATGCAGTGGCATGATCTCAGCTCACTGCAACCTCCGCCTCCTGGGTTCAAGCAATTCAGGCGATTCTCCTGCCTCAGCCTCCCGAGTAGCTGGGATTATAGGCATGCACCACCGCACCTGGTAATTTTGTATTTGTAGTAGAGACAGGATTTCTCCACGTTGGTCATGGTTTTTCCATGTTGCTCAGGCTGATCTCAAACTCCTGACCTTAGCTGATCCACCCGCCTCAGCCTCCCAAAGTGCTGGGATTACAGGCGTGAGCCTCTGCTCCTTACCTGATACCGATTCTTTCTGTCCATAAAAATGGAATGTTTTTCCATTTGATTGTATGCTCTCTTACTTCCTCGAGCAGTGTTTTGTAGTTCTCCTTGAAGAAGTCCTTCCCATCCCTTGTTAGATGTATTTCTAGAGATTTTATGCTTTTTGCAGCAGTTGTGAAGTTCATGTATGATTTGGCTTTTTTATTGTTCATTGTTGGCTTATAGGAATGCTTGTGATTGTTGTATTTTTAGTGGAGATGTGTTTCACCATGTTGACCAGGATTCTGTTGATCTCTTGACTTTGTGATTTGCCTGCCTCATCCTCCCAAAGTGCTCGGATTACAGATGGGAGCCACCGTGCCTGGCCAAACTGATGTTTCTTTATGATTAAATTCAGGTTATGATTTACTTTTGAGAAGGAAGTTATGCGGGGCCCGTCTGTATGTCTCAGCACATCACAGAAATTTGACCTCATGCCGTTGATGTTAATAACTCACTTGGTTAATGAGCTTTGTGACAGATTTTCTTTGTTCTATAGAGTTAATTTTTTCTCTCTCCATTATTAAGTATCTTTATGCAGCTGATGTGGATAAACAATCACTTTTAATCTGGCAGTTGCCCTTTCTTAGGTTTACTTTGCATGTATCTGTCTTTGGAAAATGAAAGCTCTGGTGTCTGTTTAGAGACACTGAAAAACACACAGCCTCTTTCACTTACTGGATGTTTAACAAAATAGTTTTCTTGAGCCAAAAACATTAGCATTAGTGGTGAGCTCGTTAGATATTCAGAAACTCAGATTTTATTCCGGATTATCTGAAAAAAATAATCTGCATTAACAAGATCTCCCTTTTATTGGACACATTAAAATTTGAGCAGTACTTTCTAACTCAGTATGTCTTTTCCATCTGAAAAATTTACACAACTCATTCTGTATGATGTAAATAGAGCACTCAAAAATGTACATGTTAATTTTTATGCTCTCAATTTTTTTTTTTTTTGAGATGGAGTTTCGCTCTTGTTACCCAGGCTGGAGTGCAATGGCGCGATCTCGGCTCACCGCAGCCTCTGCCTCCTGGGTTCAGCCTCCCGAGTAGCTGGGATTACAAGCACGGGCCACCATGCCCAGCTAATTTTTTGTATTTTTAGTAGAGACGGAGTTTCACCATATTGACCAGGATGGTCTCGATCTCTTGACCTCGTGATCCACCTGCCTCGGCCTCCCAAAGTGCTGGGATTACAGGTGTGAGCCACCGCGCCTGGCCCTATGCTCTCAATTTTATACTTCATTATCCATAAAGTGATATCTATATGTTGGTGTTGTGGATCTTATGCCACTGTCTTTTCTCAGAGTTAGAGGATACATTAGAGAATATTTCTGTGTTGAAAGTTATTTATTAGATATTGTCAGTCACTCATATAAGTAAAAACAAGTTCTCTTTATTCTTGTTTTACCTTGAGTCAAATTGAAAATTCTGCTCATGGTCACTTGGTAAATATGTATGTGTGCATATGTTTCTCAGGGAGTGTTGACATTTATGGATGTGGCCATAGAATTCTGTCTGGAGGAGTGGCAATGCCTGGACACTGCACAGCACGATTTATATAGGAATGTGATGTTAGAGAATTACAGAAACCTGATCTTCCTGGGTGAGTGTCACTTCAATATACAATTTCCTAATATACATTCTAAGTTTTATTTCTTTTTTTTTTCAGAATAATTTTTGGTAATTTTTGCTTTCAGATCTGTTTAGAAAAAAACTTCAAGATTTGTCTAGTAAAAAATAATTTTAAGATGTTTAATTTTGACCTGAACTTTCCACATTCCTGAGCTGATCTGTGTCCTTCACTCTAGATTAGTGTTAATTTTAGAAATTTAATGGCATAACATACTGTTGCCCACATCTAAAAATCTAATTGTCAATACTAATTTTTGATTTAGTAGTATCGGGTAGTAAAATTAAGAACTTACAAAATTAAAATATTTTTAAAATATTTTAAATTTTTTGTTATAAATTAGTATTTTTAGAATTATTTTACTAAAATGTTCTATTACATTCTTTTTACTGAGCACACTACTAAGTTGGTAATTGGAGAATATGAGCAAGATTCATGTAATTTTTAATAAAACAGGTATTGCTGCCTCTAAGCCAGACCTGATCACCTGTTTGGAGCAAGGAAAATTACCTTGGAATGTGAAGAGACATGAGATGGTGGCTGAACCCCCAGGTAGCTGAGATTGAAAATGAGTACAACAGATGGCACAGATGAGAGGTCAAAAGTAAGAAAAAAGCCAGTCCTTAAAATGATTTGGAAATCTGTGTTTGATAGAAAATAGTTTCTGGGAAGCCTGACTTTTTTTTTTTTTTTTCCACATAGAAACATCTTCTGTCTTATCTTTAGTTTTTTATTGCATTTTAGGTTTTGGGGTACATGTGAAGAACATGCAAGATAGTTGCATAGGTACACACGTGACAGTGTGATTTGCTGCCTTCCTGTCTTATCTTTTAAATGTCTAAAGATTTTACTTTCCCTTTAGTGAACTTCCAGTGACAGCCAGAGTCCTCTTTGTGGCATAAAAGAGACTGAAAAAGTTGATCGCTTTTTCACTGTTTTTGAAAACACACAGATATCTGCATAATTTTTGAGAAACTTTATGTTAAACTGTTTTTTAAGTTCTCTTTTCACAGCATGTGTCAAATGTGTGAGAGTAGAGGTTTCTGTTCCATTATTTTTGTATTGCTAATTTTTCTGCCCAATACATTTTGTCTTTTATAGTCTTGAAGTATAGTTTGAAATTATAAATAATGTTCTTTTGCTTTGTTCTTTGTTTTTCAAGATTGCATTGGCTATTCAACGTTTATTGTAGTTCTACGTACATTTTAGAATTGTATTTTGTGTTACTGTAAAGGATACTGGAATTTTATTTTGTAATACTGTAGAAAATACTGGAATTATCACTGTAGATAATATGGCAGTTTAACAATATTCTTTCAATCAATAGACATGAAGTGTTTTTATGCTTATTTTTGTCATTGCAATTCTTTTAATCGATGTGTTTTTTATTTGGAAGATATTTAAGCTCCTTGGTTACATTTGTTCTTAGAAATTTATTATTTTATCGCTATTGTAAGTAAGTTTGCTTCTTTTCTCTATTTTATTAGTTTGTTTAAAGTGTATGAAACCATAACTCCATGTTAATTTTCTATTTTGCTAATGTATTGAGTGTGATTATTACTTTAATTAGGTTTTAAAGTACTGTTTATGTTTTTTTAATATAAGATCAAATGATCTACAAAAAGCAACATTTTACTTATTTGTCTTTAATTTCAATGACTTAAATTTTTTTTTTGACTAATTTTTATTGCACCTACTTCCAGTGCTGTGTTAAAATAGAAGCATTGAGAATAGGTGCAATGCAATACAATATACTTTTGCATTGGTGTCTGAATTTGAAGGAGCAAACACCTCTTCAAGTTTTTATAAACTGGTTTCAGAAACTGAAGGTCTTTTGTCGAGTCCCCAGGGTGATGGGATGCCCCATGCTTTTGTAGTGTAGAAAGGCTGTAGCTTGATCACAAAGGCTGCTGGGTCTGCATTAAGGTCCACATGTAGTTGGCTTGTTACAAGGGGATCGGGTAGTTGTAATTCCCATTTTATTTTTGGACAGAGTGAATATGCTTTAGGACTTGGCTTTGTTTGGCAGAATGTAGGGCAGCTTTCTGCAATTGGGTCTGCATATGATAGGCTTTAAATTAGGATGTAGATGAGTTTGGCTTCCACTGAGTACCAGAGAGGATTTCCCAAGGTCACTGTGGGCTTCTACATAACAGACGTTGCCATGCACCATGGCTCAGGGAACTAAAACTGAGTCATGGAACTGCTTCAGGGACCACAGTGAGGGCCAACATCTTCAGGCCTGCCGGCATGTCTATAAATGGGTGTCTTCCTTCAGGCCTCCAGAAAGGGTCTCTCCCAGACTGTGGCTGGGAGGAATTTAAGATGAGTACAGGGTAAGTGCAGAATTCTCAGCAGGACCAAGTTTGGTGGTCCATTTTCTAGTCTATGAAAGTATGTCTTCTGAAAAGAATGTTCCTCAATCCTGGGCATTAGCAGAGTTTCACAACTCCCTCCCTGGATCTCAAAGTTCCTTTAAGGGCACTTATTTTGGAGATGGGGTTTTTCTACATAACCCAGGCTGGCCTTGAAATTCTGGCCTGAAGCAGTTCTCTGAGTTATGTACCATGTAGCTGTCATTACAGGGTTGAGCCATGATTCCTGTTTTTCTCATAAAGGCATTTTTGTTAGGGATGGCTGATGAATTTTCTTGCTGTCAGAAAATAGGTAAATAGGACACCTTTTATTTTTCCATCTCAGTGATGTCAGTCTCACTGTACATTCTTACTTTCTATTTTCTGTTTTGCTTTTGCCTGTAATTTTAGATTTAGACATTTAAGACAACATACTAGACTCTACATGGTGTGCCTGAAGTGAATTAGATAATTAGTAGGCAGGCAAAAAGAAAATATAGGCAAGTAAAGAAAGATTATAGAATTTTTACTCACTTTTGTCTGCCTATATCTAAAATATAAATTATTTTCAAATATTTGTTTTACATATTAGAGGCTCTGACCATATTCTGCAAAATAGTTTTTCTTTATTTAGCAATGTAAGGCTGTCCTTTGCTTCTAAAGTTAGATTACAGAAGTTTTATTTTGTGTAAGAATAGTATATATTAAAAACTTAAAAATTATCTCATTTATTAAAATTTTTATTTATCAAAAGTTTGTCATTAGAATCCTCTGTGTATAATTATACTGCATTTCATCTGAAACTTTACTGCATTGCAGTGGATGCCAATAATTCAAAATAGTCATCTTCAGTGGGTTCACAGGTACAGTAAACTACTGCAGTTATCTGCACAAATTCTTTGTTAATGCTTCGTCAGTGTTGCATACCAGATTTTATGAGTAAACATTTATTGTTTTTCAGTTCCATATTAGTGTGTTTTTTTCAATGTACGTTTCTTAATGTAAGTGTATTGTGCTTTTTTGTTTTACAATTTTAGATAATTTGTAATTCTGTTTATACACATAAGTCAGTGTGGGCTTTAATTAAGAGAGAAATCAGCCATGTGTCTATTATAATCTCATTATATGTGTGTGTTTTTTCATCTATAAATATGACCCCAGTTTTGGTTATGGTTAATCTGGTATTTATGTTTCCTTAGCTGATTTTCAATGGCGGCTTTATCTTGTCTAAATTAGTAGTCATGGAAATAGTCTTATTTTCACCTTGTGTTTAATAATAAGTATATATTTTCTTTGCGTGAGAGAAACACTTTTGTGACTTGAAGGTAATTTTTGGAAAGATTTATACTTCTTTAAGTTTTACCATCTTAAGTCTATTTAAGTGTACCTTTCATGGCCAGTAATGGTCATGGTTTACATCTAATCCCCAGAATTTGGGAGACCAAGGCAGGAAGACTGCTTGAGTCCAGAAGCTTGAGAACAGCCTGAGAGACATATGGAGACTTCATCTCCATAAAACATTTTAAAGAATAGCCAGACATAGTAGAGTGGTCCTGTCCACTTGAGAGATGAAGGAGGGAGGATCACTTGAACCTGGAAGTTTGAGGCTGCAGTGAGCCATAATTGTGTCATGCACTCCAGCTTGGGTGACAGAGTAAGACCCTGACTCTAAAACACTGTACATTTCAGGCATGTTAATTATATTTACATTGTTTTATGAAAGATTTCTAAAAGTTTTGCCATACACATTAAACAACTACCATTTTTTTCCATTTTCTGGAACTTTTCAAACACCATTCTGTTTTCTGTTTCTAAGAGTGACTGCTTTATATATCTCATAACATCTCTGTGGCTAGCTGATTTTAGTTTGTATAATGTCATCAAGATTTACCTTTATAGTTAGAATATCTTCCGCTTTTTTGCAAACTGAGGAAATACTTTGGTATTTTTATATTTCAGATTATATCTACTGGACTGTTTGGTGACAGAAATTCACATTGCTTTTACCTGTTGGCTTTCAGTAACAATGATAAAAATAATGATGGGGATGCAAATGAACCTTCTTTATATGACCATATATGTAAGACTTTATATATGTGTTGCATCCTACCGCATTCAGTTTTGTTTGTTTGTTTTTTTGAGATGCAGTCTCACCCAGACTGGAGTGCAATGGCATAATCTTGGCTCACTGCCACCCCTGTTTCCCGGGTTCAAGTGATTCTCCTGCCTCAACCTCCTGCGTAGCTAGGATTACAAGCACCTGCCACCAAGCCCTGCTAGTTTTTGTAGTTTTAGTCGGGATGGGGTTTCACTATGTTGGTCAGGCTGGTTTTGAATTCCTGTCCTCATGTTTCACCCACCGCAGCCTCCCAGAGTGCTGGGATTGCAGACGTGAGCCAGCCTGCCCGGGTCATTCTACTTTATTAGTCTACGATTTGACTTTCACACTCATACCAAATTGTTTTAATTCTCTAGCTTTGTGATGTGTTTTGAAATCAGAAACTGTAATGTCCCCAACATTGTTTTGTTTTGTTTTCAATATTAGTGAGTACTTTATTGTCTGTAGAGATTCTATATACTCAGAATTGATTTTTGTATTTCCTAAAAAATGCAATGAGAAATTTGAAAAACTTTGTATTAAATCTGTAGATTGCATTGAGAAAGCTGGACATCATTACAATATTACCTAGGATTACAATATTGGTAGTATTATAGGCACCTACCACCATGCCTGGCTAATTTTTGTGTTTTTAGCAGAGTCTGGGGTTTTACAATGTTAGCCAGACCAGTCTCAAACTCCTGACCTCAAGTGATGTGCTTGCCTCGGCCTCCTAATGTGCTGGAATTACAGGCATGAGCCACTGTGCCTGACCTAAATCTGTAAGTTTTAATGTCCTTTTTTGTCTCCTTGGAATTTTGACGTGAAGTACATTTTAAACATGTGACAGTTTTTGACCTAAGATGTAGCTTGCATAATATTATTTTGACTTCTTCTGCCGCATTTGAATAATATTTGCATTCAATGTCTATTTCCGTCTTGCCCTTTCAGTGTATTTTTTTATTATCACCAGATGTCAGTTGACTTTTGCAGAATAAGAAGATGGATTTTGGTTTTTCAACTTTTAATAAATTTATTTATTAAAAGTGTGTCTCTTGATTTGAAAGTTAATTTTATATATGTATTTAAATAATTTTCTGAGACAGAAAAACACTGTTGTATTTTTAATAATTTTATTTGATTCTTGCATCTTTGTTTCTCCTTTTTCTCTCTGTCTTGTTTTGTATCTTTTCTGTTGATATGTTTTTACTCATTTCTAATCTACTTTTGTGTATCTATACTGATTTTTTTTTTAGTGGTACCTTGGAGGTTACATAAACCTCTGTTAGAAACAACAGTATATTTTTAATTTGGGACAAAATACACTTCACGTGAATAAAAAGTTTTTCCTCATTACCTCTGCCCTGACATTTGTCATTGATGTTGGTAATTATGTTTTAACATTGTATATTCTTTAACAGATGTTTCTAACTTCTGTGCCTTTATTTTTCAAATATTAAAGAATAATTTAAAAGGTTTTCTGCACCAGTATGACAATGCCTCAAGATACTATTTTTGTGTATGTGCATATCTTTCTCAGAAAATAATGTATTTTTATTTGATGATGTATTATTTCTTCGAAGTTCTTTACTTTCAGTTTAAGGAACTGCGTTCAGCATCTTTTATTTGTGGGGAATATGCAGTTCCAAGATGCTTTTTCAGAATTCAGTTGTTTCAGAAGGTTTTTTTTTTTTTTAGATGCTGTCTCTCTCTGTGGCCAGACTGGAGTGCAGTGGCGTGATCTCGGCTTACTGCAACCTCTGCTTCCTAAGTTCAAGCAATTCTCCTGCCTCAGCCTCCCGAGTAGCTCAGACTCTAGACACGCCTAGCTAATGTTTGTAATTTTAGTATAGACGGGATTTCACCATGTTGGCCAGGCTGGTTTTGATCTGAGCTCATGATTTGCCTGACTCAGCCTCCCAAAGTCCTGGGATTACAGGGGTGAGCCGCAACACCCAATCCAGAATTTTTCTTTCTTTTTATTTGACAGGACAGATTTGCTAATGGTTATTGTCCTCACGTGATACTTTTTGTTTTTCTTCCCAGGACTTTGACTGTGTCACACAGTTTCTTTCTGCTCGGCAAAAGTTTTGTTGATAATTGACTGGTTATGTCATAAGACTATGTTTGTAAATGACACGTTACTTTTATTTTGCAGCTTCCACAATTTTCTTCTTATCTGTGATTTTTGAAAATGTGCTGATATGTGTATTTGTTATAAATATCTTTGCATGTATTCTATTTTTTTGTTGAAATTTTTCATTTTTACATTATCTTTTCTTTTTGGCTTTTCCAGTTACTTATTTTTCTATTTTTTACCTCCAAAATTAAAAGAATATATTAGATATCTTTATTTCCATTTTTATTTTTCTGATTTTCTACAGTAGTCTGTGTTCTTGTTTCAGTCATTGAATATTTAATTTATTATCAGTGTTTAAAAATTAACATGTACATATTTTTTATGATTTCTTTCTGAAAATTATATAATATTTTTGATGAAATTATATTGTCCTGTTTTGTATACATTGTGATAGTTGATTGATATTTGGACATTAAAAAAGCTACCTGTCACAATATTTGAAATGTCATTTTTTTTCTGAGATAGACTGAAAACAGTCATCTTGGCTAGAGATTCTGGGAGTCTCTCAAACCTGTTCTTAGTATGTGCCTTGTCTAAAATTTTCTCTTTAGTTTTTAGTTAAAGGAGTTTATTCATTATTATTATTATTTCTCCTCCTCCTCCTTCTTTTTCTTCTTAATGTTCTTTTCCTCTCATTGTCTTAGCTCATTGCAGCTAAGACTTGAACCTTCAGGTTCAAGTGATGCTCCTTTCTCAGCCTCACACATAGCTAAAATTACAGGCGTGTATCTGCATGCTCAGCTAATTTTGTATTTTTAGTAGAGACAGGGTTTTCCCATGTTGCCAAGGCTGGTCTTCAACTTCTGACCTCAGGTGATACACCCACCTCAGCCTCCCAAAGGGCTAAGATTACAGGTGTGAGACACCAAACTCAGCCTGTTTACGTTTCTTCTTAACCAATAATGACTTGCTACAATTGTTTTCTGTCTGTGATACTGCAGTCTTTCTGCTGCTGTCTGTTGTACCACAGTCTTTCTGCTGCTATAAAACTTACCTTGTGTCTCAATAGACTCAAACTGTCATTTGAAAGAATACCACTATTTATTGTAGTCCTTTATGTAATGAGAGACAGGAACCAGTGTTTGTAAAAACAATACCATTCAGAAATAAAGACATTAGGCAGTATTTTACTTGTCCTCTAAAAAAGAAACCAGAAGTTGGCAATTTATTTCTAAAGTCACTATGTTATATTGGGAAGGTGTTGGGTAAATTTAAGAGACTTTTCTTCTATGTGGTAATTTGCATTAGGCTCATTTGGGGCATTGCACACACTTAATTTTCTACAAATGTAGTTTGGTCTGTATGTTTTTGTTACATTTATACGTCTGTGAAAAAATTTGAACCTGTAACATTTTGCTGTGCCATCTTGTGAAGCAGTTTGCATAATTTTGTAGGGAAGATTTGTGTATTCATCTGAGTCTAGTAAGTGGAGTAATTTGTTATTTTTATTTCTTTCAGCTGTATGTTCTTATTTTGTCCAAGACCTTTGGCCAAAGCAGGGCATAAAAAATTGTTTCCAAAATGTGATACTGAGAAGATATAAAAGATGTGGACATAAAAATTTGCATTTAAGAAAATTTTGTCAAAGCATATTTGAGTGTAAGGTGCGCACAGAATGTGACAATGGACTTAACCAGTTTTTGACAACTACCCAGAGCAAAGTATTTCCATAACAAATTTGTGAAAGTCTTTCATAAATTTTCAAATTCAAACAGACATAAGATAAGACAAACTGGAAAGAACCCTTTCAAATGTAAAGAATGTGATAAGTCACTTTGCACACTTTCACAGTTAGCTCAACCTAAAATAATTCATACTCAAGAAAGACCCTACAAATATAAAGGACATGTCAAAGCATATAATGAGGCTTCAAACCTGTCTACATATAAAAAAAATTATACTGGAAAGAAATCCTATCAATGTAAAGAATGTGGAGAACCTTTTAACCAGGTCTCACAACTTACTAGACATAAGATAATTCATACCAGAGAGAAACCCTACAAATGTGAAGAATGTGGCAAAGCTTTTAACCAAAAGAAAAACCTTACTACACATGAGAGAATTCATACTGAAGAGAAACCCTACAAATGTGAGGATTGTGGCAAAGCCTTTAACCAATCCTCAAACCTTACTATGCATAAGATAATTCATACTGGAGAGGAACTCTACAAATGTGAAGAATGTGGAAAAACCTTTTACCAATTTGCACACCTTACTACACATAAGAGAAATCATACTGTGGAGAAACCCTACAAATGTGAAGAATGTGGTAACGCTTTTAACCAGTCCTCAACCCTTACTACACATAAGAAAATTCATACTTGAGAGAAACCCTATAAATGTGAAGACTGTGGCAAAGCTTTTAGCCAATCCTCACACCTTAGTACACATAAAATTATTCATAGTGGAGAGAAACTCTACAAATGTGAAGAATGTGGCAAGGCCTTTAGCGGGTTCTTACATCTTACTAGTCATAAGATAATTCATATGAAAGTAACCCTACAAATGTTAGGAATGTGGCAAAGCTTTTAGTCAATCTCTAAACCTTACTAGACATAAGAGAATTGGTACTGGAAAGAAATCCTACAAATGTGAAGGAAGTGGCACAGCCTTTAGCGAGTCCTCAAATCTTATTAGAACTAAGACAGTTCATAATGGAGAGAAACCCTAAAAGTGTGAAGAGTGTGGCAAAGCCTTCAACGTCCTCAACCCTTAACAGACATAAGATGATTCACACTGGAGAGAAACTCTAGAAACCCTAAAGTTGTGACAATGCTGGCGACAACACCTCAAACAAAAAACTATGCTGGTGAGAAATATGAATAATGTGACAAACCCTTTAAATGGTTGTCACACTTGATTGTAGGTAAGGTCATTCTTTTTTTTTTTTTAAGCTGTCTTTATTTATTTATTTATTTATTTATTTTTAGAAAGAGAAAGAAAAAGAGGGAAAAAGAGAAAAAGAGGGAAAAAGAAATATTACTTCATTCCTAAAATGAGTATCAATAATGGCCGATCAATATTTTGTGTGTTTAAAGTGGATAACGTATATTTTGTGTGTTTAAAATGGAGAGCTCTATTGAGTTTATTTGTTCTGGATCTGAGTTCAAGTCCTGGATATCGTTATCAATTTTCTGTCTCGGTGAATATAAATCTCATTATGGGTCTTATGTGTCTGGGTGTTAAGATCTCTTATTATTACATTAATCCTTTTACCCTTGTATCCTTGTAGCTTTGAAATCTATTTTATTAATTGTGAGAATTGCAACTCCTGCTTTTTATTTATTTATTTTTGCTCTCCGTTTAATTGGTAAGTTTTTTTCCAACCCTTTATTTTGAGTCTTTGTATATCTTTAGATATACCGTTAGATTTTGTCTGTATCTTTTGATTGGGGGATTTAGTCGATTTAAATTTAGGGTTACTGCCATTTGATATTAACTGGCTATTTTATCCTTTTGTTGATGTAAATTCTTCTTTATGTTAATGCTCTTTACTTTTTGGTGTATTTTTAGAAAGGCTCATACTGGTTGTTCCTTTCTGTGTATAATGTTTCTTTAGAAGTTCTTGTAAAGCAGGCCTGGTGGTAATAAAATCTCTGAGTACTTGCTTGTTGCTAAAAGATTTTATTTTTCCTTCAATTATAAAGCTTAAATTGGCAGGATATGAAATTCTGGGCTGAAAGTTCTGTTCTTTAAGGATGTTGAATATTGGCCCCCACTCTCTTCTAGCTTGTAGGGTTTCCGCTGAGAGATCTGCTGTAAGCCTAATAGGCTTCCCTTTATGGGTAACCTGATCTTTCCCTCTGGCTGCCCTTAATATTTTCTCCTTCGTTTCGATCCTGGTGAATCTAACGATTATGTGCCTTGGGGTTGGTCTTCTTGAGGAATATCTTTGTGGTGTTCTCTATATTGCCTGGGGTTGAATAGTGTCCTGCTTTGCTAAATTAGGAAAATTTTCCTGGATAATATCCTGAAGAATATTTTCCAGCTTGAATTCATTCTCTCCATCACATTCAGGTACATCAATCAAACGTATATTAGGTCTTTTCACATAGTCCCATATTTCTTGGAGACTTTGCTCATTCCTTTTTATCCTTTTTTCTCCATTCTTGTCTTGTCGTTTTATTTCATTGAGTTGGTCTTCAACCTCTGATATCCTGTCTTCTGCTTGATCCATTCGGCTATTTAAGCTTGTACATATTTCACTGAGTTCTCATGTTGTATTTTTCAACTCCATAAGATCATTTGTATTCCTCTCTATATTGTCTATTCTTTTCATCATTTCATCGAACCTTTTTTCAAAGTTCTTAGTTTCTTTACATTGGGTTAGAACAAGTTCCTTTAACTCCCAGAAGTTTCTCATCATCCACCTTTTAAAGCCTATTTCAGATAATGGAACACAGTCTTTTTCCATCAGGACTTGTTCCGTTACTGATGAGTCCTTTTCCATCAGGGCTTGTTCGGTTGCTGATGAGTCCTTTTCCATCAGGGCTTGTTCTGTTGCTGATGGGTTCTGATTTTGGGTATACTCGGCCTTCGTAGGCTGTTTTTTTCCCTTCGTTGTAGATGAACCGCCTTTCTACTTAGGTTTCTGAGTCGACGTCCGACTTATTGATTCCCAGTGCTGGGATCGAGCAACCCACTGTGGTGGCCTAAATAGCAGTGATAAGACTGATGGTGCTCTTCTGCCCTGGAATCTCTGGTCTGGCTTCCCTCTTGAGTCCTCAACAAGCGGCTCTGACTTCCCGGAGCTCCAAACTCAGGTCAGTAGGGGAAGCAGTCCCGTTGGCTCTGCATGAAGAGCTGCTGCGCCGAGACGCCAGCAAAACCGCTGCGGCGGCCACAAGAGTCGCGCTGGCGACCCGTGGGGCTCCTCCACTGGGAATCGGCTGATCCGTGAGTGACGAAAATTCGTCTAAAAGTGTGGCGTCGTCTCATTCTCTGAGCTTTCACTGGGAGCTACAATCCTGAGCTGTTAGTGATCGGCCGTCTTGGATCGGTCTCGGTAAGGTCATTCTTACTGGAGAAAACTTCTACAAGTATAAACAATGCTTCAAAACTCTTACGTAATGCTCACACCTTATTGTGCAGGAAAGCATTTATACTTGAGAACAAATGTACAAATATAAAGATAGTTAAAAAGCGGTTAATATCTGCTCACATTCTTACTGTACATGAAAGACTTTATACTTAATAAAAGTGCTATTCTCTCAAAACATTCTTCAGTCTTTCAAGTGCTGGGGAGCATTTATTTCAAAGACAGACTTTACAAGTATAAAGAAAGTTGTAGTACCTTTACTTGTAGCAAATTTTGTTATTTTTTAGTAGAGGCAAACCCTGAAGCAATTGCTCTAACTTTGTTCAATATCAGAGAATATATAAAAAACTATGGGAATATAATAACTTAGGGGAAAAAAACATTTATTTAAAAGCTAAAGCTTAGAAAATTCCAGCTACTTTATACTAAAACGTATTTTTGCAGATTGAGTAGGAAAAAAAATTTAATCAAAAATTAAGTCTATGTAAATATCAAACAATTGAAAATAATTAAGGCACTGACACTTCAGTCGTTACACTAACCCAGTATTCTGAGTCTAGAAAATCATCCAGAACTAAAGTTGGTAGAAAAACTATGTAACTTTAAAAGATTAGAAACTTTTTTGAAGAGTTATAATTACAAATTTACTTTTTTTGGAAAGAGTACAGATTTTTTCAAAAGCAAATAATGTGGTAGTTAACTCTGTAATTGCTTCATAGTAAAAGTATTGTAATTAACTCTCAAATTACTTCATGCTAATGAAATCTTTCTTTTTTGTGACAGTTTCACTCTGTCACCCAGGCTGGGGTACAGTGGTGTGATCTCAGCTCACTGCAACCTCCAACTTCCGGGTTCAAGTGACACAATTGCCTCAGCCTCCCTAGTAGCTGGGATTACGGGCACATACCACCACACCTGGCTAGGTTTTGTATTTTTAGTAGAGATGGAATTTTGCCATATTGGCCAGGTTGTTCTCAAACTCGTGACCTCAAGTGATCTGCCCAGCTTAGCCTCCAAAAGTGCTGGGATTACAGGTGTTAGCCACTCTGCCAGGCCCATCCTGTTTCTTTATTCCTATCATTTTCATACATAAAAGCATGTGACCAGTTATTGCTGCATCAAACATATGAGATTTTTTTTATTAGGTGAGCATTTATGACCTCTTTAATGCAAGAGTGAGTACATTAAAATGCGAGATGCATGATGAAATTCTAAGTAAAAAGGTTCTTTGTGGTTAACTTACAATATTGAGTGATGCATGAGGTAAGTGTGCAGAGTAATATTCTTGTGCATTATATTAAGAGACAAATATTTTTAGTTTTAGTTAAAATTAAATTGGCCTGGTGCAGTGGCTCACATCGGTAACTGTGGCACTTTGAAAGACTGACTTGGGTGAATCACTAGGTCAGGAGTTCAAGACCAGCCTGGCCAATGTGGTGAAACCCCATCTCTACAAAAAATACAAAAATTAGTAGGGTTTGGTGATGTATACCTGTAG